AGATTACAATCAGCTGCGCTTTGGCCAATGTTAGTAAGTGCAAAAAAGAGACATATTCTTTTACATCTGATTGCTGTAGCGAGTTTTGACTAACTGTACCCTTAATCACGACCGTTTCTCCTTCCCTAGAACGAGATCGTGTACGGCGTCCAGCGGGACTGTGTGTGTGCGTGTGTGTGTGTGTGTGTGTGTGTGTGTGTCGTTCGTGTGTCTGTGTGTGTGTGTGTGTGTGTGTGTGTGTGTGTGTGTGTGTGTGTGAGCACGATAACTCAAGAAGGCTTAGATGGATTGTCTTGATATTTGGTAGGTGGGTAGGTCTTTATAAGACGTGCAACTAATTAGATTTTGGGCCCCCTAGCGGCTTGTAATGGTACTGCAGCTGAACTTCCGGTTTTCATATCCCGTGATCTAGACATGCTAGGGTGACGAAATTTGGATGGTAGGTAGCTCTTGTGCTGGGGAACAAGTGACGTTTGGGCCCTCTAGCGGCTTGTTCTGGAACTGCAGGGGCGTTAGTTGAAAAATGTTTAAAGGGGGATAACTCAAGAACCGATTGATGGATCATCGTGATTTTTGGCATGTAGGTAGCTGAAGTGATACTTGACATAATAATATTACAATTATGCAAATATTTATGTAATCTGCATAATTAATGAGGAAATGCTATAAATCAGCTGCATTCCATGATAGGACTATTCAAGCTTGTGACATATGTAATTCAGAACGGTAGAAATACAGGCAGATATTGATAATGCAAATGAAGACTTAATTTGCATAATTAATGAGGAAATGTTATAATTACATAGTGGTAATGTCTGGAATTTCATACTTGGGATATTTGAAAGTTCTGTGAAGGTGGACATAATTTAACATAACTTATTCCAATAAGGACCTCATTTGCATAATTTATGAGGACATGCTATAATGACATGCATTGATAAGATAAGACTGTCTTCTTTTGTAGAATATGATCAACAGATATAATCGATGCAATATAGGATCCTATTTGCACAATCGGGGATTCATCTATTATTTCTTAGTCATAAAGGTTAACATCATTTGGCGAAGGTATGAGATCGTGGAACTCTAGTTTTATTATTTTTTTTTAATTGTTCGTCAAGGGATCTCTTACCACAATAAATAATGTATACTTTTTGTTCTTTGCTCGAAAAAAATACAGCAAAAAGGTAAAGGTCAACTTTGCCCCCCCCCCCAGTGACTGATGTCAGTACTGTGGCAGAAGTCATTCAAATGCTGTCGTTTTTTTTATTTTTACGGGGCAAATGCAAGTAATTTTTATTCACAATTTTCACTAGGCCATGTTGATTTGATTATATGGATGACATCCTCTGGGAACCCTAAAACTGATGCGCGCGTGCAAATAAAAAAAAAGTTTTGCAAAAAAAGTTGCTTTCACTATATGAAATCTACGCGGTCATGAAGGTTGAACAAATGGCACAGAATATGTTATGGCGAATAATGTACTCTTCGAATTCATTTCTTTAACATTTTTGTCTTTTTCCCTTTGATTTTGGCATTCTACGACATTGGTACCGTTTCTAAATGTTTTCCTTGTAACTTATGGTAGATATTTTTGCTCATTTAGCAACTGTTTTGCACGATTTACAGTATAGTTGAAAACTTTTTTTTTGGAAACGGCCGAAAATTATTGCGCGCGCGGATGTCATCCATATAATCAAGTCAACATGGCCTTACAAAAACGCCCATACGAACCACTTACATGTTTGGGTTACATGCAGGAACTGTAAATACAGATGTTTGTTCACCCAAGAGTTTAACGTGGTACTTATTTACATGCTTTTGTTATAGTGATGTAGGTTCATGAAAGAAATTTAAGGGTGGAGCTTTCCTAGCCTCCTTTGCAGACTTGTTGGGCGTAGGCGTTATTTTTTTTTTCTGTGAGTGACGCGAGTAATATGCCGCGGAGGGACGATTTTGCTGCCGAGGAAGTTTTTGCCGTGGAGAGAAGGTTTCGTGCTCCAAGAACAACAACAAAAACAACAACAACAACAAACATGTCTGCTTCCAGTCGGCAACCAAAAAGGGCTTTGGAGTAAGCTAGCCTTTCATAGAGGCTATATATTTGACATGGCGGAAGCAGACTTGTTGGAGCGCGAAACCTTCTCTCCACGGAAAAAAAAACTCTCTCAGCAGCAAAATCATCCCTCCGCGGCATATTACTCGCGTCACTTCAGAAAAAAATAACACCGACGCAAAACAAGTGTGCGAAGGAAGTTTTCCCATGAAAGATGGAGCATGGAGGAAGAAAGGGTGACTTGTTTCCGTAGTAATATCAAAACGAGTCCTGGCCACGAAATTTCGAAGTGAGAGCACTAGCGAATGGATTTCCGTGAAACATTTGCCATTTGTCAGTGTTTTACATAATAGACCTTGTATATATATAATCACACGATAAAGTTTTCATGATTGCATAGACACACTGATTTGACAACGTTTCAATCTCCTGCTTCTTCAGTTATATGTCCATCGAATGGTCAAAGTCTTCACCCCCACTGAAGCCAAGGGACTAGCTACTCTGATACGAGCTACGAACCAACATCACCACAACGTCAAAAAAGTAAGTGAATTAGAAAGGCCGACATTTGCTTTCGAACAAATGTAGCAAATGGCTACATCAGATTTTACGACATGGCAGGGAAAGAAGGAGAAACACAAGGGAATACAATTCTTTACATTGATATAGATATAGTATGAAGTGAAAACAGTTGGATAGCTATCCCCTACATTATTGGTCAGGAATTTTAATTGCATAATGCAAACTGTTAATTTTCAAGATAAAAAGAAGCGTTTATGTCACGCATTCCAATGCTGGAGCAGGAAAGCTTGAAAAACCTACCAAACCACTCGAATGCAGTTCATTCTGTCAATATGGCATGGCTTTGTACAGGTGTTAATTGAGTTAAACCAATAAAATCCCAATAGCCAATCAGCAAGTAGAATAGAGGAAAGCTGCATGCCTATTGGTTGCTTGCTCTGCATGCCATTCTGATGACACATGTCCAAATATGCCAATACACTGCTATAGTACATTTTCTATATCACACCAAATAGCTAAAATAAAACCACTCTAAAAGCCTGTATCCCCCCCCCAAAAAAAAAATGAAAAAAAAATCGCCTGGGGGTATTTTCCCACTCTACCTTCATGCCAAATCCTATGTTATTTTGCCCAAAAATGAAGGAGTTCAAACAATTGAAATTACAGAAATGACAGGAGGAGAAGGAGAAGAACATAAGGAAAACAATATGTCTTCACCACATCAAACCCTATAGATGTAATGTCTTGCAAACGGTTCATATTGTGGGAAGGTGGATGTTTGCTGTTCCGTGGTCCCCATGGTAAAAAGGGCTCGTAGTAGCGGGTTTTTGTGTGTTTACTGTAAATGACCGCGGGTAACCCCAGATCGAACGCCCGTTCCGTTCGAATGACGTCATATCGAACATGATTGGCGGGTTCGGGGCTTGGTCTCCATAGCAGCAGAGTGGGACTTTTCGGCCCCTATTTGACCATCGTGTTTTATGATTCTGTTTTTGTGTGACACACGTTTGTAACTTATGCTGCTTGTGTGTCACTGTGTTTTTATTGTGTTCAAATCAAATCAAATGATATGAGAGAGTTGAAAACTATATTTTTTCCTGTAACATTGTTGTTTTCATTTTAGTTCAACACAGAAGATCTTTTGACAGCTGGGCCTCTGGTTGAGGCGGCAACTGTCCACAATGTTGCTGACGATTTTGGAGACATCTTGTATCAAGAGGTTGTGGAGTCTTCAAATGTGAATCGAACGAACCAGGTAGGGAAACATTCCTTAGACCATGTTTAAACTTAAAACTTTTGGTCCAACACAAAAAAAAAGTTCTCTCACTTAGAGCTTTTGACCAGTCATGATCACTCTGGTCTTCGTCAGTAGACTGACCCAGACTTCGAAAGATTCTAGTACAAAACTACAAGAGAATTAGCTGAAACCTAAATACCTGCTTCGAGAGTACATCAAAGGAGGATGGGATGGCTTGTCTGATGATCCATGTATATCACACACTTTGCCCGATATCAGGCAGAAA